TAAGGAGGAAGCCTGGAACAAACAGCTCACAAACCATGAAAACAGAATCAGGGAAATAAATGACGCCATGAAACATTCCAACATCAGAATTATTGGAATCCCTGAAGGGAAGGAGAAAGAAGGAAGTCTAGAAGATAGAGTGGAACAAGTTCTTCATGAAAATTTTCCCAATCTCGCGAATGGAACCAGCGTTCATGTACTAGAGGCTGAACGGTCTCCACCCAAGATTATAGATTCCGGAAAAACATCAAGGCACCTGATAGTCAAATTGAGGAATCATAATTGTAGGTATAATCTCTTGAAAGCCACTAGGACAAAGAGGCTCCTTACTTACAGAGGAAAGCCCATCAGAATAACGTCAGACCTATCCACAGACCTGGCAAGCCAGAAAGGGCTGGCAAGATCTATTCAGGGCACTAAATGAGAAGAACATGCAGCCAAGAATACTTTATCCAGCAAGACTGACATTCAAAATGGATGGAGAGATAAAGAGTTTCCAAGACCAGCAAGGCTTAAAAGACTATGAAACCACCAAGCCGACACTGTAGGAAATATTAAGAGGGGGTTCTATAAAAGAGGAAAAATCCTAAGAAAAGCATTGAACAGAAATATAGAGACAATCTACAGAAAGAAAGACTTCAAAGGTAACACGATGTCAATAAAAACATATCTATCAATAATCACTTTCAATATGAATGGCCTAAATGCGTTCATAAAATGACACAAGGTTGCAGATTGGATAAAATGACAGGACCCATCCATATGTTGTCTACAAGAGACCCATTTTGAACCCAAAGATACACCCAGACTGAAAGTGAAGGGATGGAGAAGCATCTTTCATGCCAATGGGCCTCAAAAGAAAGCGATTCTCATATCAGACAAATTAGATTTTAAACTGAAGACTGCAGTCAGAGATACAGAAGGACACTACATAATTCTTAAAGGGACTATCCACCAAGATGATCTAACAATTGTAAATATCTATGCCCCCAATATGGGAGCAGCCAATTCCATAAGAAAACTGTTAATCAAGATAAAGAGTCATATTGATATGAATACATTAATAGTAGGAGATCTTAACACGCCTCTCTCAGAAATAGACAGATCATTGAAGCAGAAAATCAATAAAGAAACAAGAGCATTGAATGACACATTGGACCAGATGGACCTCATAGATATATACAGAACATTCCACCCTAAAACAAAAGAATACTCATTCTTCTCAAGTGCACATGGAACCTTCTCCAGAATAGACCATATACTGGGTCACAAATCAGGACTCAAACGATACCAAAAGACTGAGATTATTCCCTGCATATTCTCAGATTACAATGCTTTGAAACTGGAGCTCAATCACAAGGAAAAGTTCCGAAGGAACTCAAACACCTGGAAGCTAAAGAGCACCTTGCTTAAGAATGTTTGGATCAACCAGGAGATCAAAGAAGAACTGAAACAATTCATGGAAACCAATGAGAATGAAGACCCTTTGGTCCAAAACCTATGGGATACAGCAAAGGCGGTCCTAAGGGGGAAATACATAGTCATCCAAGCCTTCCTCAAAAAAATTTAAAAATCCAGAACACACCACCTGTCTCTACATCTTAAAGAACTGGAGAATCAACAACAAATCAAACCAACTCCCCCACATAAGAAGGGAAATAATCAAGATTAGAGCTGAGATCAATGAGGTAGAAACCAGAGATACAGTAGAAAGTATCAATGAAACTAGAAGCTGGTTTTTTGAAAGAATCAATAAGATCGATAAACCATTGGCCACACTAATCCAAAAGAAAAGAGAGAAAGCCCAAATTCATAAAATTATGAATGAAAAGGGAGAGATCACAACTAACACCAAAGAAGTAGAAACAATAATCAGAAGTTATTATCAACAGTTATATGCCAATAAACTAAGCAAGCTAGATTAAATAGATGCATTCCTGGAAAACTATAAACTCCCAAAATTGAACCAGGAAGAAATCGACAACCGAAATAGACTGATATCTAGTAACGAGATTGAAGCAGTGATCAAAAACCTCCCAAAAAACAAGAGCCCAGGACCTGATGGAATCCCTGGGGAATTCTACCAAACTTTCAAGGAAGAAATAACATCAATTCTCCTGAAGCTGTTTCAAAAAATTGAAGCAGGGACACCTGGGTGGCTCAGTGGGTTAAAGCCTCTGCCTTTGGCTCAGGTCATGATCCCAGGGTCCTGGGATCGAGTCCTGCATCGGACTGTCTGCTCAGCAGGGAGCCTGCTTCCTCTTCTCTCTCTGCCTGCCTCTCTGCCTACTTGCAATCTCTGTCTGTCAAATAAACAAATAAAATCTTAAAAAAAAAATTGAAGCAGAAGCAAAACTTCCAGACTCTTTCTATGAAGCCAGCATTACCCTGATCCCCAAACCAGGCAAAGACCCTACCAAAAAGGAGAATTTCAGACCAATATCACTGATGAATATGGATGCTAAGATTCTCAACGAGATCCTAGCAAACAGGATCCAACAGCACATTAAAAAGATTATCCACCATGACCAGGTGGGATTCATCCCTGGGCTACAAGGATGGTTCAGTATTTGCAAACCAATCAAGGTGATAGAACAAATCAATAAAAGAAGAGAGAAGAACCACATGGTCCTCTCAATTGATGCAGAAAAAGCATTTGACAAAATCTAGCATCTGTTCCTGATTAAAATGCTTCAAAGTATAGGGATGGAGGGAACATTCCTGAACTTCATCAAATCTATCTATGAAAAACCCACAGCAAATATCATCTTCAATGAGAAAAAGCTTGCAGCCTTCCCATTGAGATCAGGAACACGGCAAGGATGCCCATTCTCACCACTCTTGTTCAACATAGTATTAGAAGTCCTGGCAACAGCAATCAGACAACAAAGAGAAATAAAAGGTATCCAAATTGGCAATGAAGAAGTCAAACTCTCTCTTTTTGCAGATGACATGATTCTTTATATGGAAAACACAAAAGACTCCACCCCCAAATCACTAGAACTCATACAGCATTTCATCAACGTGGCAGGATACAGAGTCAATGTACAGAAATCAGTGGCTTTCTTATACACTAACAATGAAAATACAGAAAGGGAAATTAGAGAATCAATTCCATTTACTATAGCACCAAGAACCATAAGACACCTGGGAATAAACCTAACCAAAGAGGTAAAGGAGCTGTACTCAAGGAACTACAGAACACTCATGAAAGAAATTGAAGAAGACACAGAATGATGGAAGACCATTCCATGCACTTGGATCGGAAGAATAAACATTGTTAAAATGTCTATACTGCCTAGAGCAATCTATACTTTTAATGCCATTCCAATCAAAATTCCACCGGTATTCTTCAAAGAGCTGGAGCAAATAATCCAAAAATTTGTATGGAACTAGAAGAGACCCCGAATCGCTAAGGAAATGTTGAAAAACAAAAACAAAACTGGTGGCATCACGTTACCTGATTTCAAGCTTTACTACAAAGCTGTGATCACCAAGACAGCATGGTACTGGCATAAAAACAGACACATAGACCAGTGGAACAGAGTAGAGAGCCCAGATATGGACCCTCAACACTATGGTCAGTTAATCTTCGACAAAACAGGAAAACATATACAGTGGCAAAAAGACAGTCTCTTCAATAAATGGTGCTGGGAAAACTGGGCAGCTATATGTAGAAGAATGAAACTCAACCATTCTCTTACACCATACACAAAGATAAACTCAAAATGGATAAAAGACCTCAACGTGAGACAGGAGTCCATCAGAATCCTAGAGGAGAACATAGGCAGTAATCTCTTCGATATTAGCCACAGCAACTTCTTTCAAGATCTGTCTCCAAAGGCAAAGGAAACACAAGCGAACATGAACTTTTGGGACTTCATCAAGATCAAAAGCTTCTGCACAGCAAAGGAAACAGTCCAGAAAACAAACAGGCAACCCACAGAATGGGAGAAGATATTTGCAAATGACAGTACAGACAAAAGATTGATATCCAGGATCTATAAAGAACTCCTCAAACTCAACACACACAAAACAGATAATCATATCAAAAAATGGGCAGAAGATATGAACAGACACTTCTCCAATGAAGACATACAAATGGCTATCAGACACATGAAAAAATGTTCATCATCACTAGCCATCAGGGAGATTCAAATTAAAACCACATTGAGATATCACCTTACACCAGTTAGAATGGCCAAAATTAGCAAGACAGGAAACAACATGTGTTGGAGGGGATGTGGAGAAAGGGGAACCCTCTTACACTGTGGGTGGGAATGCAAGTTGGTACAACCTCTTTGGAGAACAGTGTGGAGATTCCTCAAGAAATTAAAAATAGAGCTTCCCTATGACCCTGCTATTGCACTACTGGGTATTTACCCCAAAGATACAGATGTAGTGAAAAGAAGGGCCATCTGTACCTGAATGTTTATAGCAGCAATGGCCACAGTCGCCAAACTGTGGAAAGAACCAAGATGCCCTTCAACGGACGAATGGATATGGAAGATATGGTCCATATGCACTATGGAGTATTATGCCTCCATCAGAAAGGATGAATACCCATCATTTGTAGCAGCATGGATGGGACTGGAGGAAATTATGCTGAGTGAAATAAGTCAAGCAGAGTGAGTCAATTATCATATGGTTTCACTTATTTGTGGAGCATAACAAATAGCATGGAGGACATGGGGAGTTAGGAGAAGGGATTTGGGGGAAATTGGAAGGAGAGGTGAATAATGAGAGACTATGGATTCTGAAAAACAATCTGAAGGGTTTGAAGAGGTGGGGGGGTGGGAGGTTGGGGGAACCAGGTGGTGGGTATTAGAGAGGGCATGGATTGCATGGAGCACTGGGTGTGGTTCAAAAACAATGAATACTGTTATGCTGAAAATAAATAAAAAAATGATTAAAAAAATAATAATAAAATAAAATAAAAGGAAAAAAAAAAGAAAACTGAGCTCCAATGTTCTGTCTTGTGTGGCAGGGAAGCTACCCACCTCACAGGACTTCAGGAAGGGCTTCATGCTAAGATCCAAGTGAAGGCCTGGAGAGGCCTGCCAGCATCCGCTTGGTGAATTCTCTCTCGTCTTAGGACCTCTGAGGAAGGCTTTTCTCTGGTTTTTCTTATTCCCTCCACCTCTTACTGCAGTGTATGAAGATTTTGATCTGTGCGTCTGTGGGGGCAGGATGTTCTGCATGCCTTTTCTTCATTAATCTTCTCTGAGCTCTATTAAACAAGCGATAGTATTATTCCTGGTCACAGATCAAGAAACAGTGTCTCACAGATGAGAAACAAGGCTCAAATTGCATAGCAATGACCCAGGATCCAAGATATAAGTTTACAGTGTCTTTCTGTTTCTCTCTGGACAGGAGAGGAGGACCATCCTAGTAAATGCTGAATCTCCAGCCCCAGGGGCGGAGGGGTGGCTGGATTCTGAGATGCTTCCCCTGGGGATGTGGGTCCAATAATTGCTGTCAATTACCATCTACCTCTCCCTGGATGCACCCTTACTAATTTGGGGGAGAGAATGGAAATTACAGTTCTCTCTCAACTTCCATCCTCACTCCACATTAAACTCACTGATTTCCAAGTGTGAAGAGAAATCCCAAAATGTGTCCCATTTCTCAGAAAATGTTGCAGGGAAACTAACCCCCACTGGGAGTTAGAGATGCCCAGTGAAATGATCAGGAGATGCTGGGAGTTCAGAGAGAGGGAAGCTGATGGATTATGATGTGATCATGATCCCATCTGCTTAGGGACTAGAATCTCCTGAGGCCTGTGCCCACAAAGTTTTCAGGGTCCTCCATCAGGAGAGTTGCAATAGGTCAGCAAAAATGGTGCCTCTTCTTGCAGGGAGTGGAAGTGCCCTGAGCTCGGTGAGGGGGTGGATGACATGGTGGTGGGCAGGCACGCATGGCTAAAGCTGGCTAGAAGTCAGAAAGATGGAGCTCTGGGCTGGCTCAGGCTGAAAGAACATTCTGGAATAAGAAGAGGAGTAGCCCTTGCCCTTGTACTCAAAGCCTTCTTTAAGACCTCTCTTGACTATTATCCTGAATAGCCTCCATTCTTGTTTGTGGGGTACATAGAAGTCCCTGGAGGCTTCAACTGCCATCATGGCTCCAGGGAGACGATCTCTTGGGTGAGTTCCAGGCTCACTGACTTGGTTGTGTGAAGGGCTTTCTGCTGCCCCTCAGCATGCTATGTATTCTGCTTGCCTGTAAATTTGCCCTAGTATGGGATGGAAAAGACTGGAGTCCTTATCAGTGTTCCTGTGGTGCCCACGCAGGCCAGAACATAGGACCTGGGCTACAGCCCTTGATTTCTTTTCCTGGTTTGTCTAAATCCCATCACAACTTCCACATGTACCCACCTCATCTTGACTTCCCAACTGTTAGATCAATCAAAAAATCCCCTGTGTCTTCAAAAGTTCAAAGTCCCAGAAAGCATTCTTTCATCCCCAGTTAGATGATTAGTATCATAAAAATACACATGCAAGTCTTTGCACTTACAGTAAATAATTCCCTAGATTCTAGTGCCCTTAGTCCCCAGCAGGTATGGGACATACTTCTGTTAGATGAATGAAACACAATATACCATTGTATGTCTTCTACTTATTGGTTGATGGATAATTTAACTTTGCTTCCTAAATCTGTCATCTGAAATGTTGAAGCCATTTCTGCCACAGGCCTTCAGAAAGCAAGTAGGGGCTGGGGCAGAGTATGACCATCCCCTCACCACAAGGTGAGTGTGGGAGGTGAGCACAAACCTATATTTTTCCAGACCATTTCTATGACTATGTCTGACCATGGACTTTTCACATGTCTTCTCAGCTGAGCCCCTGTTCTGGACCTGATTGAAGGGGGGTGATTGAGGTTACGAAGCACCAGCCACAGCTCTCCTATTCCCCACTATCTGCTCATCTGGTCTCTGCCCTGTACCTGGTACTAGACAACCCCACACATGGGACCCTCTCGGTATCCTTTTAGGCAGTACTGTGCCCATGTGTCTCCAGCATTGCAGGATGGGACAAGGGTAACTCCATGACAAGCTGTAAGTTATTCCAGGTGCGGTCAGTGCATATGTGTCTGCAGGACACTGAGGCTCAGATTACTGACCCAGAAGCCATCATAGACAAGTCCAGGTGCAAGTGCCTCCCCCGACTTCCTTCTTGTAGATCCTACTCATGCTAAACCTCTGATCTTCCCTCTTGAAAGAGAGTTTGAGGGTCTCTGAGTAAAGAGACTCTGAGTAAAGTCCTTTATGGAGGGAGCCCAGGTAGCAGATTCAACTAGAGAGGGCAGGGGTGCTTGCAAAAGAACCAGACCCTGGGAGCAGATCTTTCAGCCTTCTGAATGAGATCAGCAGTGAGAGATGCATTTCACGTAAGAACTAAGTACACACTTAACACACATTCATGCACACATATGCATAGACCTGAAGAAAGAGTTTACCAACAGTCTGTCTACCCTTTATTTTAACCTACTGGATTCTATTGCACTGGATAATGCCCAGGATTGAAATTTTATTTTGAACTCTTGTTATAATGCACCAGATAGATTTCATGACCTAAGAAGCAGAAAGGAAAACACTCATTAGTGGACTTCCAATGCAGGGTCCTATATAGTTCATACCATGCCCAATGATCACCAAACTAGAAATCTAAGGCATCAAGGCCTTTTGTAGTTTGAACCTAACATGGGACAAGCCCGTATTTCCCCCATTTTATCATCATAGGGAAAGGATGAGGGAAAAAAATCAACATATTGATTTATTCTAGGAAAGTATAATAAACATCTGCATCATCAGTGGGCAGGAAGCACAGAAGGTCCTGGTCTGCGAAGAGTATTTCAATAGTCCACCTCACTGAGGTGAAGGATGGAGCTGGTGTCCACCAAGGGGGATAGTTTCTCCAATGCAGATACACATGTGCACTGTTATACATTGTCTAAGGCCTGTTAGACCCCTTGTCCCTGAAACCCCACCCCCACTCCCTAATCCACAGGAGGTCAAGGCAGTGTTCCAGATAGACTCTCCCAACTCCAGGCTACCCCCTGAAATTGTCATTGTCTTACATACTACTTAGACCCTAAGATAATATGAATGAAATCTTCCTGTCCTTTTCCAACCCCAGTGCTGTGAACATGGAGTTGATAACCCCATTACCTCCACACTGGAGGGCTGGATAGGTTGCTGCAGCCAAAGCGTTTGGGTGCTCTTTTTCCCTCAAGAATATCAGAGAGGGTCCCCATGGTGACTACTCACTGAAATGGGTAACCCAGTCCCCAAGCTCTTCTCTCTGGTGTCAGACTCTATCTTTCATGTCACAGTAGGAGGGTTACTAGCCAAGTTGGGTTGTAGGAGCCCTCTCACTTACCTGCTCCGGGAAGCATTGTGTGACTACTATCAAGAAGGATCAGTGGTCTTCCTAGAAGTTACCCCTCCCTGGGGAAGAGTCCAGCCCTGAAGCAGAGACCATTCCCTCTGAAACCATCCAAAACATGTTCAACGCCCAGGATGCTCTGTAAGGAAAGAAGAGAACTGTATTGGGTTGGGGTGTCCTAGGAAGAGCCTGGAGAGGAAAGAAAAGGAGTTAGGAAGGTGAAAGTGCAGGGTTTTCTGTTCTGGTGCCTAACCTGCTCAGAGCTGTGTAATTTCTGGATAATCATCGTGGCAGGATCTCAGCCCAAGTGCAGGGAAATCAGGGATGGCTGCTTTCAGTTTCTATTCCTGGAAATCACACCAGTTCTCAAAAAGGGGGAGAACCAGTTTCACTTTCTCCATTCTGGAGTGTAGGACTCCTACAGCATTAACCTGAGGCATGTAAGGATTATTTGAGCACCTTCAGCAGAGAAACCCAGGGAAGGGTAGGGGTGCTCTGTGACCAGCCCCACAGGGTCACTGCCTATGTTCTCCTCTAGGATTTTGATCGATTCCTGTCTCACATTGAGGTCTTTCATCCATTTTGAATTTATCTTTGTGTATAAGAGAATGGTCAAGTTTCATTCTTCTACATGAAGCTGTTCAATTTTCCCAGCACCACTTATTGAAGAGACTGTCTTTTTTCCATTGGATATTTTTTTCCTGATTTATCAAAGATTAGTTGACCATAGAGTTAAGGGTCCATTTCTGGGTTCTCTATTCTGTGCCACTGTTCTATGTGTCTGTTTCTATGCCAATACCAAGCTGTCTTGATCACAGCTTTGTAATACAGCTTGAAGTCAGGCAACATGATGTACCCAGCTTTTTAACATTCCCTTAGGAATTCGGGGTCTTTTCTGGTTCCATACAAATTTTAGGATTAATCCAGCTCCTTGAAAAATGATGGCATTTTTTATATGGTATAGGGATGGCATTGAAAGTGTAGATTGCTCTGCGCAGGACAGACATTTTAACAATGTTTATTCTTCCAATTCATGAGCATGGAATATTTTTCCATCTTTTCGTGTAAATTAAAGAAGACACAAAAAGATTTTAGCCATTCTGACAGATGGTAATACCTCATTGTAGTTTTGATTTGGATTTCCCCTTCCATCCCTTCACTTTAGATCAGCAAGTGCCTTTAAGTCTAAAATGAGTCTCTTGGGGTGCCTAAGTGGCTCAGTCAGTTAACCAGTTGCCTTAGGCTCAGGTCATGATCTCAGGGTCCTGAGATTGAGCCCCATATTGGGCTCTCTGCTCAGTGGGGACTCTGCTTCTCTCTCTTGCTGCTGCTCCCCCAGCTTGTGCTCTCTCACTTGTGCTCCCTTTCTCTCTCAAAGAAAGAAAGAAAGAAGGAAAATCTTTATAAAAATAATAGAATAAACTGAGATTCTTATAGGTATCAAATACATTTTTTAATCCATTCTGATACCCAAAGTCTTTTTTCTTTATTTCTTTTCAGGATAAGAATTCATTGTTTTTGCACCACACCGAATGCTCCATGCAATATGTGCCCTCCTTAATACCCACCACTTGGCTCCCCCAACCTCCCAATCCCTGCCCCTTCAAAACCCTCAGGTTGTTTTTCAGAGTCCATAGTCTCTCATGGTTCTCCTCCCCTTCCAATTTCCCTCAACTCCCATCTCCTCTCCATCTCCCTATGTCCTCCATGTTATTTGTTATGCTCCACAAATAAGTGAAACCATATGATAATTGACTCTCTCTGCTTGACTTATTTCACTCAGCATAATCTCTTCCAGTCCCGTCCATGTTGCTACAAAAATTGGGTATTCATCCTTTCTGATGGAGGCATAATACTCCATAATGTATATGGACCACATCTTCCTTATCCATTCGTCTGTTGAAGGGCATCTCGGTTCTTTCCACAGTTTGGCGACCGTGGTCATTGCTGCTATAAACATTGGGGTACAGATGGCCCTTCTTTTCACTACATCTGTATCTTTGGGGTAAATACCCAGTAGTGCAATTGCAGGGTCATAGGGTAGCTCTATTTTTAATTTCTTAAGGAATCTCCACACTGTTCTCCAAAGTGGCTGCACCAACTTCCATTCCCACCAACAGTGTAAGAGGGTTCCCCTTTCTCTGCATCCTCTCCAACACACGTTGTTTCCTGTCTTGCTAATTTTGGCCATTCTAACTGGTGTAAGGTGGTATCTCAATGTAGTTTTAATTTGAATCTCCCTGATGGCTAGTGATGATGAACATTTTTTCATGTGTCTGATAGCCATTTGTATGTCTTCATTGGAGAAGTGTCTGTTCGTATCTTCTGCCCATTTTTTGATATGATTATCTGTTTTGTGTGTGTTGAGTTTGAGGAGTTCTTTATAGATCCTGGATATCAATCTTTTGTCTGTACTGTCATTTGCAAATATCTTCTCCCATTCTGTGGGTTGCCTGTTAGTTTTCTGGACTGTTTCCTTTGCTGTGTAGAAGCTTTTGATCTTGATGAAGTCCCAAAAGTTCATGTTCGCTTGTGTTTCCTTTGCCTTTGGAGACAGATCTTGAAAGAAGTTGCTGTGGCTGATATTGAAGAGGTTACTGCCTATGTTCTCCTCTAGGATTCTGATGGATTTCTGTCTCATGTTGAGGTCTTTCACCCATTTCGAGTTTACTTTTGTGTACAGTGTAAGAGAATGGTCGAGTTTCATTCTTCTACAAATAGCTGTCTAATTTTCCCAGCACCATTTATTGAAGAGACTCTCTCTTTTCCACTGTATATTTTTTCCTGCTTTGACGAAGATTATTTGACCATAGAGTTGAGGGTCCATATCTGGGCTCTCTACTCTGTTCCACTGGTCTATGTGTCTGTTTTTATGCCAGTACCATGCTGTCTTGGCAATCACAGATTTGTAGTAAAGCTTGAAATCAGGTAACGTGATGCCCCCAGTTTTATTTTTGTTTTTCAACATTTCCTTAGCAATTCAGGGTCTCTTCTGATTCCATACAAATTTTAGGATTATTTGCTCCAGCTCTTTGAAAAATACTGGTGGAATTTGATCGTAATGGCATTAAAAGTATAGATTGCTCTAGGCAGTATAGACATATGAACAATGTTTATTCTTCTGATCCAAGTGCATGGAATGGTCTTCCATCTTTTTGTGTCTTCTTCAATTTCTTTCATGGGTGTTCTGTAGTTCCTCAAGTACAGCTCCTTTACCTCTTCGGTTAGGTTTATTCCCAGGTACCTTATAGTTCTTGGTGCTATAGTAAATTGAATCGATTCTCTCATTTCCCTTTCTGTATTTTCATTGTTAGTGTATAAGAAAGCCACTGATTTCTGTACATTGACTTGGTATCCTGCCACGTTACTGAGTAGCTGTAAAAGTTCTTTTGATTGGAGTGTGTAGTCCATTAACATTCAAAGTAATTATTGATAGATATGTATTTAGTACCATTTTATAACTGTTTTGTCATTAGTTCTGGTGTTTTTCTCTCCTTTCTTGCTTTTGTCAGTTTTTGTCTCTCCGTTGCACTGAAAACTCTTTGGTCTGGAGACACCTGAGTGACTTAGTCAGTTAAGTCCCACTCTTGATTTCAGCTCTGATCATGATCTTAGGGTCATGAGATTGAGCCCTGGCTGGACTCTGCACTAAACATTGAGCCTGCTTGAGATTTCTTCTCTCCCCACCACCCCTGCTCCTCCCCACCACTTGCATGTGCACACACTGTCTCTCTTTCAAAATAAAATGAATTTTTTTAAGAAAAAAATTATAAAAACCACTTTGGTCTGTCCACATAGTGTCGGGGCAGGGGGTGTGTGCTTGTCTTCTCCGGGTAGGGCCTCCGTCCTGGGACTGAGGCTAGCTGATTGAGAAGGTCAGTCTCACCAGAGTGCAGAGGGGTAGGGCTTGGTGTAAGCAAGTTAGGCTGACAATATCGGCCTTGTGGTGCTTCCAGCAGTTGGAGCTGAGGTGGGTGGGAGGGAAATGATGCAAGGAAGGGGGAATTGTGAATTGTTTCAGGAGAGGCATCTGTGTGAACACTTCAAGGTCATGCTCCAAGAAAAGTAAACAATCTCTCCCTTGTGTGCCCCAAGCATTCTTCAGATCCCTGTTTCCAAGCTGTCTGACCTGGGTTGTTTGCCTGGCTTCTTTCCAGAAGCAGCACAGCCAAGCCTGCTGTGCTAAAGCCAAGCCTGCTGTGCTGTTTAAAACTGCAGGCTTTAAGCCAAGAATTGCAAGAATTCATAATATATAGCCCCTCTTGTTTTCCAAGTCAATGGCTGTGGGATAATATTCTCCTGCTGTGTTCCCCCATGTGCTTCTCTACCTCTCTCTCTCTCTCTCACACTTTCTCTACATCCATGCCCTCCCCTCCCTTCTGCAGCACCCAACATCCCTTTCTCCCTTAAACCATGAGTCCACACTTCCTACCTTCTCCAATGGGGCCTCTTCTCTCCCTTTAGTTGTGGAGTTTGTTCTGTCCGTCTTCAGGTCAATTCCTGGGATATTCAGGATGGCTTGACAGTTATATCATTGGGTTCATGGGACGAGGGGAGCCTTGGGTCCTCCTGCTCACTGCATGCTTCCTCTCCCCAAGCCAGTATCCTTAATAAGTGTAGATGCAAATTTTTTCAACAAAATATTAGCAAACAAAATTCAACATCATATGAAAAGAATTATACATCAGGGTCAGTGGGATTTATTTTATTTGTGTCCCAGGGGATGCAAGCTTAATTTCACATGAGCAAATCAATGTATATAATATACCACACAAATGGAATAAAGGATAAAAATTCGATGGTCAACTCAGTTCAAACAAACAAACAAAAACAACAAAATTAAATGTCTTTTCATAAATAAATGTTCAGCAAATTGTGCATAATAAAAGCCATATAGGCAGGTCCCCAGCTAACATCATACTCAAAAGTGAAAGGAAGAAATCTTTTCCTCTAAGATCAGGAAAAAGACAAGGATGCCTTGCCACACTATTCTATGCAAAATAGTCCTGGAAGTTCTGGTCATAACAATCAGGAAAAAAAAGATATAAAAGTCATCCACACCACAAAGGAAGAGGAAAACCCAAAGATTTCACCAAAATCTTGTTCTAAGTAATGAGCAAAGTTAACAACATTTCAAGATACGAAATGAGTATACAAAAATCTGTTGCATTTCTGTACACTAAAAATCAACAAGCTGAGAGACCAATTAAGAAAACAATTAGAATTACACAGAATGAGGGATGTCTGAGTGGTTGAGTTGGTTAAGCATTTGCCTGCAGCTCAGGCCATGATCACAGGGTCCTGGGATTGAGTTCTGCACTGGGTTTCTTGCTCAGCAGGGAGCCTGCTTCTCCCACTGCCTGCCATTCCCGCTGCTTGTACTCACTCTCTCTCTGGCAAATAAATAAATAAAATCTTTAAAAAAAAAAAGAATTACAACAGCATCAAAAAATAAAATAAAATTCCATCCATAGGGAATGGATACAGAAGATGTGATTTTATATATGTATATACAAAACATACAGTTTATATGTATATGGAAAACATAAAATATGTATATATAAGGTAAATACTACTCAGCCATTAAAAAAGAATGAGATATTGCTGGGGACACCTGGGTGGCTTAGTTGGTTAAGCATCTGCCTTCAGCTGAGGTCATTATCCCAGGGTCCTGGGATCGAGTCCTGCATCGGGCTCCTTGATCAGCTGGGAGTTGCTTCTCCCTCTCCCACCGCCCCGCCTCATTTGTGTTCTCTTTCTTTCTCTGACAAATAAGTTAAATTAAATTTAATTTAAATTTAAAAAAAGAGTAAGATCTTGCCATTTGCAACAACAACATGAATAGACCTAGAGAATAAAATGCTAAGTGAAATAAGTCAGAGTAAGACCTATACCATATGACTTGACTTATACATTGTAACTGTGCCTCAGAACAATGTATTACTTAAAATATAACCCATGGGAAATTCTACTAGTTACCAAGCATGTTTAGTATAGCCTCAAGAAAAACACATACTTCCAACAGGCCTCTGGGGGAGAGGACGATATACTACGGCCTTGAAGCCGAGCAGAACACTGCCTGCTTCATTTTCCCCTTATCTCCCCTTTCCCCCAACTGAGAGCACCTGTGGCTAATTACGTAAGTCCTTTGAATGTGCTTGCTCAACCATAAACTTTATACTGCTTGACCAAACATATTTTGCCTTCCTTCTTGTTTATCTACAAGACATATGACTAATGTTTAGCCTTCCTCCACTCTTCTGTTAATTACTGTCCATATCTAATAAAAACAGAACTGAAAAGTTGTTCGGGGCAACGGTCTTTTCTACTGTTGTCCCCTGCTCCCTTTCTCTTACAGCTGACTTGTTTGTGCCTCATCCTTCTCCTGTGTGCCATTGGGAAGCAACAATACATGGAATTTAAGAAACAAAAGAAACAAAGAAAAAAGTAGAAAAAGAGAGATAGAGGGAGATACCCTGAAACACAGAACACAAACTGGTGGTTCCCAGAGGGAAGGAGATATCCCAGATATCTGATCTATATCTATCTATATCTATATCTGTATCTATAACTTGTGGTTTAATCTATCTATATATCTATCTATAATATATCTATCTATCTATATATAACTTGTGGTTTAATCGTGGTATGTGTGTGTGTGCATACACATATATATTTAATAGTGATATATATACCTATATATGTATAATGTAATATTATTCAGTTATGAAAAAAATCCTTCTACTTGCAACAACATAGGTGTACCTTGCAGGCTTTAGCTAAATGAAATAATTCAGAGACTGACAAATACCATATGATACCATATGATCTCACCATTTGTGGAATCTAAAAAGCAAAACAAAACAAAAAACCCTAAAACAATGAGATCCTGGCTAAAGAGAACAGAAAATGTTCTCTGGGAGGTAAACTTTCTGAGTCTTTGGATTTCCAATTAATGCCTTTATTTAGAGCTCACTGTCAATAAATAGCTTAACTGAGTATAGGATTCTGGATACAACATCATTTCATCTTAGAACTCTGAAGATCTATGTCCTTCCAGCATGCCATGTTGCCAGTAAAAAGCCCAGTGCCAATTCCATTCGCATTCCTTGGATGGTCACCTGGTTGACTCCATGGAAAATCATAGGAACTCTTCATCTCTGGGGACTATGTCAGAAATGTCACCATGGCCTGATGACCTAGAGCACCTCCATCAACACTCAGCATTCAGAAGGCTCCTTAAATGACAGCTGATGTGAAAAGGCATGGAGATGCACATTACCAAGTGGGAGAAACCAATCTGGAAAGGCTACATACTGCACGATTCCAACTGTGTAACATTCTGGAAAAGGCAAAACTACAGATTCAGTAAAAAGATCAGTGGTTTCCAAGGGTTCAGGGGAGGGAGGGACAAGCCAGTGGAGTACAGAGGCCACTTAGAGCAGTGAAGCCACTCTGTGTGATGTGGTAATGGTGGGTTAATGGCAGATAAATTATACTTTTGTCAAATCCCATAGAATACACAGCACCAAGAGGAACCCAATGTAAACTATGGACTATGGATGTGGAGGGAGAAAGTTGGGTCAGTTTGGGTTCATGAACTGTAGGATGGTGTGGTTGTTGACAGTGGGGAGGCTGTACTTATGTGAGGGTAGGGGTACATGGGAACCCTCTGTACCTTCTGCTCAATTTTGCTATTTACCCAAAACTGCTCTAAAATACAGTTTAATGAAAAAGATGATGGCTGTTGACATTGTTCTTCAGCTTTGACATTGTCCTTTGTCACTTTTCCTAAGTGTAATATGTGTTCAGCAGTTAGCTACAGTAGGATATATATGATATCTCGTACGTACATACACACAGAATAAAGCAAGATATAAAGGAATGCCAGGGTGGCTCAGTCAGGAGTCAGACTATTGCTTTCGGCTTAAGTCAAGATCTCAGGGTCCTGAGATGGAACCCAATATTGGGCTCCCTGCTCATCAGGGAGTCTGCTTAAGGATCCTTTCCCTCTTCCTTACCCCTCCCCTGATTGCAGGCACTCTTTCTCGGTCTAAAATAAGTAAATAACTCTTTCAAAAAAATATCATGCAACATAAAAAAAAGATCTAAATATAAATACCTGTGAACTCAACTTCCAAAATTAAGAACAGGAATGTTTCTTATATAAGTGAATATTCCTACACAATTAATCCATATCCTGTCTCTCCATATCTCTTCTCAGACATACAGCACCTTCAAATGTTAAGTTTATCATTTTTTGCTTCCTTCCGTTTTTACCACTATCTGTAGTTCCTCAGAAAATTAGTTGTCCTTGGTGGGTGTCTTAGAAAAATATAATTATTTTGTGTGTCATCTTCTGCAAGCTGCTTTTCATTTACAATCGTTTTTATCACATGTGTTTTCCATTTTGCAAAGATAGAACATAGTATCTATTTTCTGTCAGTGGGCACTTTGGATTGGGGTTCTTTACAGTTGTTTCTTTTTATTCAACACAGTTCTGATACAAACATGTTACACATGTTTCTTGGACACCTGGGTAGAGCCTTCTCCAGAAATAGGAGAGGAATTGGTGGGTCAGAACATTCGAATGCTTACACATTGCACAAAAGGAAGAGAATGCATTGCTTAACAAAGCAGCATTAAATTTCCCATCATTCAGGTCTTTTCTGTACGTAGGTATTTTCTGTATGTCTGTCACTGCTGGAGAGTTGAGAAGGACCTGCGTGCCCTTATACTCAAATGCAGAGTACACTTAAAAGTTGGTGCCTGTAACCACCATTCCTGTCTTCAGGAGGTTACATGGTGTCAGACCACATCTGCCTCTGAAGCAGCTTCCTGAATCAGGTCCTTTAAGCTCTGCAGGATCTGCAGGCTCAAGCTCCTGGGTCTTCTCTGAATGATTTAAGTTAAATTAATTGTATTTCTAGATCACATCCAAATAAATTAAAATCATGAAACATTAATTACTAAACAAACATGTCTCTAATTTTGGCTCCATTATTATTGAGAAACTAAAGATAAATGTAAGTACTGTTGGTAAACCTTTTTGGTGTATGTGAAGATCGTAGTATTAAAAAAGCATAGATTTCTAGAAAAAAAATGTGTATTTATAAACTTTCCATCTCAAGAACAGAAGACTCGTCTAACACACAGATAAGTGCTTACTAGTTTATTTTCACTAGAAATTAAAGCTTCTAAGTGTTCAGACCTCTAATGTGTGTGGTAAAGCTACTAAAAATTAAAAAAGGAAACATCTCTGAAAGAAAGAAAACTAGGTTATGTGCTTTTGGTTAAAAAAAAGTGTATATGGACTGGAGAAACACTTTTTTTGAGGCAAAAGAAAGTTGTAGAAATACTATAAAAATGAACCTTTAGAAAGGAATTTATTCATGGTTGGGACTGACAGACATTGCAATGAATATGTTCTCATAGAAAAGTAAACTGGTGCAAAAATAGAATTTGGATTCCTATCTGTTAAAAGGACAAAGATTTGATGGTTATTTTAAACATCTGATCTATTTTTGGGTGTAGTTTGAGAATGTTACCCTTCCGTTTTAAGTGATCTTCCTAGAAAACAAAGATCCCGTGTTTTATGTTGCATTTCCATGGGTATATGTATTCTAGAAATTATGTAAAATTCCTGGGAATTTGATACATCTTAGTATAATGTTATTGTTTGTAATTATTCTCTTACTTTCTGAAATTGCAGTCATCAAAACTGAGGCTTGCACTAAAAGGACTGAAACAGAGTACCAGAAAACTGCCCCCAGCTGACTCTCATATGCAAAGGCAGGCAACAAAAGAATCTATAAAGAACGTGACACATGTGGACAATGTCCATTCTGCCTCTCTGCAAAAATGTCTCCTCGTTGTGAGATTTTTGCCATTCTAATGCCAGGGTAACATGGCAACCCTCTGCTTCCAAACCAGAGAAATATAACACGGGTAACCAATGGTTGTAAGTTGAATGAACAATCAGGGATTTATGGAACACAAGACAGCAGCTGATTCTTCCTGACTCACTAGCAAACACATTTTTTGTTGTTTTTTTATTTCTTCACCCATTATATATATTTAAGATGACTCAAACTACGGATACATATTGGAGGGAAGACTTCTAAAAAATTGTGGAAGTTTACCAGCAATGTTTGACTTTTCAGGCCCATTATCCTGGAAAAATTATTTTTGCCCTCAGAGGACTCACATCACCTCCTTTGAGAGACATTTGAACACCCACAGCTGGTCTTTATTCAGCTGTCACCTGTCCTGAGTCATCAATGTGTTCTTCTTACTGTACGTGTGTTTTCCAGTTTGGTTGAAGTTTGCCCTGCTGCAAAGCAGATGCCCTCACAGTGGGAAAGGAACTGTCAATGATTTCTTTCTTTTACTCTTCCTCTCTTCCTTTAAAAACATTTCCCTTCCTACAGCTCAATGGACCCCCTTTCTGTTTGCTAGATAAGATGTTGCCTAATTCATGAATTATATAATAAAGCTAATCATCCTTTAAATTTTGTTTATTTGAGGGGCGCCTGGGTGGCTCAGTGGGCTAAACCCTCTGCCTTCGACTCAGGTCATGATCCCAGGATCCTGGAATTGAGCCCCGTATCAGGCTCTCTGCTTGGCAGGAAGTCTGCTCCCCCACCCCCCTGCTTGCCTCTCTGCCTACTTGTGATCTCTGCCTGTCAAGTAAATAAATGAAATCTCTAAAAAAAATTATTTATTTGAATTGTGTCATTAATAGATAATACATGCATTGTCTCCCCCACAGAAAGGTAGTTAGGTATGAAATGGGGAGATGGGGAATAGGAAGTGTCTGATCAGGAACCTCTTGGGGAAAAGCCCCATCCACTGACACCCCAGACATTCACATGATCCTTCTGCAGTTCACAGGAATAAAGTTTGTCCTCCAACCTCCCTCTGAAAATGTCCCAAATAGTTAAATGCTCTAA